TGGCCACATATTATTACCCCAAAAATTGATATTGTTGTCCTGGATCAACTGCTGAGTCATATTTGCTTTCATGCATGGGGCTTTATCGTGAACAAACGTCACTTCATCCACATCAATGACATGTTTTCTTCATTTTTGAGAAAAGGAAAGACGTGCTGAACCAAAATTGTATCACGAAAGTATTCACCTGTCCAGGATTCTCCTTATTATCTTTGACTACCCAAAGCAATTTTTTGCGGTAAAAATAATGAAAATACCGATGCATGCTTGATTTTGTACCATTTCACGATATCTTTCGTCCTCTTCAATATCTTCGATAGATTTAGCCCAGATTCTGTCATTCTGGTAATTTGGCTTCCGAATACTCCACACAAAAAATTCATCAGCTGGTGCGCGAGGTGTAAGAAGTCTTCCTGCGTCCAGTTCTTTAACCAGTCACATAGCCACAGACGATCGGAAATATGAGTTTCTGATTTCAATTGTTTCCGAATAACATGAAAAGGCTTTAGTCCCATCCGGTGTCGGTAGTTATCGATCGTGCTTCGCGTAACATACTCTTTTTGTCTCGCTGCAATTTCCCTTGCCACAACGGAAGAACTTTTTTTCTGCTTGCCACTCGCATTGAGGATGATATTTTGACTGTCCTACGATCCATTGTCTAGTGATGAATGCTGCACCAGCATCACGCACTTCACGAAAAGCGACGCACTTTATTCGGTCGGCAATTCTTTGTTGTTCATTGTCATAAGTCCCACCTAAATTAAAAATGTATCATGATCATCATTGAAAGATACAAATAAAAGACGCGAAGTTTACTCATATTCCCAGCAAAATCACTTCGTTCAAAGAGAAATTACGGTTTCTTTATAGCTATGATGTCGTATGCGAGCAAAGAAAATGAAAAGAAGAGGATGAAAAGCAATTCGACTTGATACGATCGTGACTAACGACTATTTCTTCCTTCTTTTCATGATTAGAATGCTGTGCGTACGTCCTTACGGAGGAGAACGAAAAAAAATGATAAAGGAATGAAGAGAATCATTCTCTTGCACATTCAAGCAATGTGTTTTAAGTTATTAGATAAATTCCTTATCAGTTTGACGATAATGTACATTTTCTTAACGGCTGTATTACTTCTTTATTGGATAGTCGGTGGAATCATAACTGTCAAAACTCTGTGACTTATCTTAGCTCTGTATATGGCTCTCTCTCTAGAACACTTAAATATATCCCTAGATGCCGTTTTTGACGGGCTTTCTTTTGGTATAAAATTCATTGTGTCCATCACTAGTCATTAGGGCTGTACCTCCCTGGACAAACATTTTTGGCATCCGAGTAGATACAATTAACAAAGAAATATTGGCAGACGATAGCTAACGCACAAAAAATAACAGAACAAATAGAAATACTTCGACAACGAATTAGTTTACAACGTATAGAACCCAAAATTAATAAAACAATTGATCGTTCACTTGATCATGTTCAACCGATGCTTAACAATGCAGCTCTCGAGAAAGATCAACGTGCTGGTTTAATATCGAGATACTCAAAGATAATTACACAATATAAATTTGATCTGATCGCTTTAAATTTAGACACATTGGAAAATATTCGTCGTGGACATGAACAAAGTATAAGTGATTTAGAAGAAAAGTTAGCACAAGTCTGTCCACCTCTATTACGACAAGCTATTGCGGACCGTCAACAAATAATGATAAAACGTCACCAGAAACTTTTAGAACATAAATTAAAGTCTTTTTTCGACGATGCTCCGGCGGCGACATTAACAAACGAATAAAAAGATCATCTCGTTCTCGTCGTCGGAGCAGTTACTCCAATTCTGTTATTTATACACAAATTACTGCTTCATTACCGTCTATTGAAGTTTACCTTAACTTAAGTCCACAACAAATGTCTATGTTAATTAATGGTCTAAAATATGTTGTACCATGTCAAACTCAATTTATTGTTGCTGCTGCTTCTGGTCCATTCATTGATACTATTGTCAATGAACAATTTGAAAGTATATTTACTATTGTAAGAAATTGCCTAAACGATCGTGGAATATTATCGAGTGATATACGAGTAAAGATGGCACTTCCTGAATTACGACAGATCGTCGATACATTTAAATCACAAAAGATATCAAAACAATTAAAAGAACGTGCTCGACATGAATACAAAACTATTCGAAGTATCCGTCGACTATTACATGAACGACCTGATATTGTAATTTGTCGAACGGATAAGACAAAAGCATTATATATTGGCAATAGAACGACAATGGCTCGTAAGGCATATGAGTATATGGATAAGACAACAGCTTACGAAGAACTTGTCGATGGACGTTCACCTTTAAGTGATATATTACAAGGTCTACATACATTACTCGACTATGTTGTACGAACACATGGTCTAACCGATAAACAACGTAAAACACTACTTCCGAACCTAAGTCGCCTCGAATTAGCACATTATCATGGCTTACCAGAGACACACAAGGTAGGAAAGAAAAAGTAATAATTGTTTAATTGTGATTAATCTCTTATTTGTTTAATAAAGAACGGAATACCATTACAACCTATTATTGCATCGATTAGCTCGCCAACAACATTGCTCTCGAAGTTTTTGAATAATCTTCTAGCACCTATCTATCTACAAGTAGCACGTGAAACAACATTTATTAATGATATTGATTTAGTACGAAAATTAGAAAGTCATGTCGATAAAGGATTTTTTAATTCAACAACGATATTTGTTACAGCTGATGTTAAAGATCTTTATACGATGATACCAAGACAAGGTGCAACATTAGCCTTGATGCGATTCTTAGAAAAATATACTAAACACGGAAAAATTGGCACATTATCAATTGATTACATACTACGCATGGCTCCTTTTATATTAGATTCAAATTATTTTGTTTATACTAATAAATACTACAGACAAATACGAGGTGAAGCGATGGGTTCAGCTTTTACACAAGTATTAGCTAATATCTATATGTTCGAATGGGAACAAGAGTTAATTGCATACATACACCAACATAATGGTATTTATGGAAGGTATGTAACGTATTTATTCTTCTTTGTATCATTCTATTTACTTAGATATATTGTTGATATTTTTATCGTTACAAATCAATCACTTGCTGAAGTACAACTGGAATTACGAAAAGCTCAAACAAAAGACATTAATATTAAAATAACACCAGTTATTGGTACGTCAGTAAACTTTCTCGATGTTATTGTTATTAACGAAAATGGACATTTAAGAACATCAATCTATCATAAACCAACAGCACAGCCCTATTTTTTACCTTATACATCAGATCATCGACGTCACATTGATCGCAATATACCCTATACAGCTTTACTACGTGCAGCTCGTCTTTGTTCGAATGTCGAAGATTTTGATATCGAACGTATTCGTATTGATATGTCTCTATTACTTAACCACTACCCACCAAGATTTATTAGTTATTATTTCAATAAATTTTTTGAAAACAATAACGCTGTTTCTGTCTTACAACGATTAGACAAAAATGTATATCGACAATTACATCGTGATCTACTTCATAAATGTACACGACGCGAAAAACAACTGAACATGATGACCAAAGATCCCATTCAGTTTCCTACAGTTCTACAACAAAAACCCTGGGATAAATCCATCATGTATCTACGATATAAATATGACAGCGGTTTAACCAGACATTTTCCAAAACAATTTCATGAATGGTGGGATAAACATTTCAAATATGCAGCCAAGGATCTGAATAATGTCTCTATTCGTATGATAGGGAACTCGAATCGAACACTAGAACAATGGTTTATTCATAAGAAACCATCAAAAGAACTACTAACCAGAATGGATACAAAACTGAATTAACTTCTTTCCTATATACATATGTATACATTGTTGTACCTTTATTCTTATCCCCTAATCCTAGACAAAACCTTTTAAACTTCATGTGTACTATCAAATTTACCAACTTTCCGAAAAATATACTCCACATTCCTATATATCATACTTTTCACTTAAATAGAAACAATTTCACAACCTAATATATAGATTAAGTCTTTTTCAGATTAAACAACATACTTCAACATCTTCAATCAAACAATCTTCTGCAATCATAGAAGTTAACTCAAACATCCTAGCGCGGCTAAACAAAACCAACTACACACATGCAACGACGCGTTATAAGACTGCTTTGAATTATTTTCTTATCTGTCAACTAACTCTTGGAAAACTATCGATGATGCATATAAACTTTGATATGAGATAGATTTCTTCAAAAATTGGTTAATACCATCAGAATCTTCTACAGTAACAATGCATACAATTCAAGATCTTGGATTAACTAAAACCAATGCAAGCATTTACACATTTTATTTTAAATCAATACTATTCAATGATAGACAATCCACTTTAACTTGTACCACAATTTATAGACGATATAACAACGGAAATAATATCTACATTTGAAATATATGTTGATCAATCCGCACTCAGCGTACTAGATGACAAACAAAAACTTCTAAACAAGTAACGCGATGATTACATCGCTGACCCTCTACTGAAAGGAATTGATATTAGGAAGCTTATAATGTACATGCATGTGTTGCATAAATACGATAGTTTGCTTATATATATAGGGTACACACAGATATGAGAACATTTTGACAGTAAGATAAATACTCTATTTTGAAACTAAGCAGTTTCAACTGCAGTTGTCGAACAGTGAGATAGAAATGTATTTAGAGGGCTGATGTTCACACCAAAGTATCAGGCTAGCTATTTTTGTGTATAATTTCCATTGATATGATCCTCGTGCTGAGTCTTAAAAAAACGTAACGTATCACTTGAAACTAGTCACTGAAAACGAAGTCCGATTG